CCTGAGTCCCCTCAGGGAAAAGGGCGGCCTACAAATATTAATAAAATCTCAAAATCTCAAATCCCACTGGATCAATTAATTAATTAATGAAGAAAATAAGAGTTTGTCATTATTATTTGGGAGCACTCAAAACTAGTTAAATTCTCAAGTGTCCAGAAAGATATATTCTACTCATATGCCAAAATAATGTCTTCTATCTAGAGTTGAAAGAACAAGGCATCCACACACACACACACACACACACACATTTCTTGGGCGATTTTACTGTGCTGAGTAATTTGAACTTATTGATCAGAGTCACAGTGAAGTGACTAAATAAATTGTTATGGTTTCTGTCCATCTCTGCCACATCTGCCTATTAATAAGGCTGATGAACCGAGCTGGAAATTTCTGCCAATGAAATGTATCTCATTCTGATCAATGCCATTTTTCAATTCCTTAATTTCTAGCTGCCCTTTCAATGACAGATTTATCTGACTAGTATTTGAGCTAGAAGCCTGTTCTTTTTATTCCATTCCGATGAATGCAGAACTTCTCCTGAGATAAATTAGCCCAAGGATTTAATCTACTCCTCTCTTTTTTGGTTAATACCCCCGAAAAAGTAATATCTCATAAAGAGGATCTAGCTAATTCTTTCCTATACAGTACTTGCTAAGAAAGAAAGAAAGGAAGAAAGAAAGGAAGAAAGAAAGAAAGAAAGAAAGAGAAATCCATATATTGTATTGTCAAGATGAGCCAATAGGTGCTTTGTGACTCTCAGAAACATATTTTCTCTTCTACTTTAAGCACATGAGCATTTTTGCCCACAGTAAATGAATCCCACCACAATAATTTAAAGAATTATTTAAACCCAAAATATCTGAATTTCACACTGCCCAACATCCTTAGTCATCATCAATGCGACTAAGTTAGAAAAACCATGTCTGTAAAGGCAAAGGGAATGATTAACTGAATGTCCAGTGAAGTAACTCTTGTCATTTACACATGATGCTCATATTATGGAACTTGAACTGAAGATTCCATAATCAGAGATGGCTTCTCTGTTTCCTAATCCAGTTAAACATCATAATTATGCTATGGCTAACTGATGAGATTATAGCCTCAAAACCCACTTTTTAAAAAGAAGGATAAATTATATATTTTGATATTAATGTAATTAGCTAAATCTTTGGCTGCAAACCTAATTTAAACATTGAAAATCTCTCACCCGTTATAATGCACTTTGAAATTATAATGCATTTAATAGTTAAATCTATTTTTGAGTAAATGACACCATATTTTGTCTTTATGCAGGGGGCCTTATGCCAAAAGTTGACTGGGCGAGGTTCCCAAGGAGGACACAGCTAAATCAAAAGAGTAAGGCGGGCCAAGGCAAACATTTTAAATACAACTATCTCCTTCTAACCATCCCCCACCCTGAAAGTAGCTAAGCAATAAACCAAGAAAGCTGACAAACTTTAAAGTGCTGAACATGTTAAGCCGTGTAAAAGGATTTAAAGTATGAAAAGCAAAAGTTCACCACCATTTTTAAAAATTTTTTTTGCAGCAAACTGTGCTGTCAGATTTGGTGACAAGGATGTGTGGATTTCAAGGTGGCATGAAAACCAGCCCAAGGGTGGCAAATACAACCTAATAAGAGTGTTTGTTGGCCATCTCTGGTTAGAGACAGGCTTTGCAAGTCTGTTCTACTATTGTGGACATAGGGAAAGATGAATTTTCTGACAGAAAAGCTTCACACCTGACTAGATTAGAGAAAAAAAGTCCTGCAGGAAGTTGAAACCCAAGGATCTAGGAATGTAAAGGAAACAAAGGGGCAAAGAATGAAAGAGATAGATTGGAAGGGGTGAAGGGAGAGTTCACAAAGTCACAGCGAAAGGAAAGAATATGATGCTTAATTCATTAAAAAGTTTTCGGCCAGAGAATTTATGAGTGCTACATTTCACATATCCATTATCAACATCTGTGCCGAGCTTTGATTATTAGTCAATAATAAGTTTATGCAACCATACATCCTACAGAACTGATATTTTCAATTGCCAAGCTCACTTTCTGGCCAGCTAGTGGCATATGGTGATCAATTTGTGGCTCAGAGGTGGCTAAAATGTGAATGGTGCCTTTGTTTGTGACAGCTGTTTGCATACACTTGCAGTCTAATGGCAAATTGCCACCAATAATATTTCCACGCAATTCATTAATTCCTACCCGGGCAGTATGAGATATTCACCTCTGGACAGGCATATTCAGTATCCACATAATAGCAAGAATATCATTCCAGGAAAAATAAAAGAGGACAAGCTTATTGCAGTTTGGGGAAAAAATGGAAGAGCTCATAATGATAAAAAATGGAGAAAGAGCAAAAATTGTCTTTCTAACACTGTCTATTTTGTGGTTGCTGCTAACACGATGGAGTAAACGAATACAATTTTTCCCCCAATGATTTTGAATATACATTCATAGGCACAAACTTGTCCTTACCAGAGGTCGCAGGTTTGGATGTAGCAATACATATCCATTCAAGTCAATAGCAAATACATAGCCATTAGCCCCCAACTGGATGGAAAGACAAAAAAGAAAGGAAAATCCTCCTGAAGAGAAACAGATTACATCTCAAAAGGACAGAATGGAGTTGCATCAAAGCTCCTTTACCATGATATTCTGTGTCACCCATCTCCTGCTTTTCTAATACCCAATCCAAGCAGAGAATAAAGGTCCATCACTTTTTTAAAATTAAAGGAGAGGAGTTCAGTTTGCCTCCGGGATCATCATCAAAAAGATGAAAGGTGGTTGGGGTGGTGGTGAAGTAGAGAATTGAGGGAGAACATTCCGAGGAAAACTAACACCCCTCTTCCTATCCCGCTTGCTTTTTTAAATGGCAGAGTTTGAGGAACATAACATCTTCCCTACTCACATTGTACCGCGGTGTCAGCTTCTTGATATCATTTAGAGCCACGTCAATCCCCACAACACCCAGGATGAGCTGGTTCTGAAAATACATAAACAACAATGACAATTTCATTCATTACATCATTCATTATTCTGTTATTTGAAATTGTGCAAATCGGGATGCAGACTCTATTGATTTCGACTGTTTGTGTCTAAGGCAACCCTCACCACTCTTTCAGCAGTCCTGACAGGGAATTCCAGCAGTTTTAATTCACTTGGAGGCCACTGATTTGAAGAAAGAGGATAGAGTATACCATGCCTACTTCGTCCACAGAATTTATTGGTAGTTTGTATAGTTAGTATATAACTATCAGCTCATATACTTTTACATTTTACAATTGAACTGTTCAAAAACTAGAGGTAGATAATAGGTAATTATACATGAGAAACTAATGGAAAGATCAACATGTTTTCACAAAATGAATTTTGCTCTAGTATTTGGGAGAAGATGTGTGAATTTCCTGAAGGGGGTTGGATGCAAGGTGAGCTGTGAGCTATGAGCTGTGAAAAAATAAATTTCCAAAACCTCTTCTTATAGCAAGAGAAAGTGTAAAATATCACAATAGGAGTGTCCGTCAGTTTTAATGCTGAATAGAGAGTTAGAGGATACAGAGTACCAAAATGAAACCTAGGATATATCAACCATATCTGTACCACCATGAATGAGTTTGTCACATTTGTTCTAAGGAGTCATGGTGGTGCAGTGGTTAGAATGCAGTATGGTAGGTTAACTTTGCCCACAGCCAGTAGTTCAATCCTGACCAGCTCAAGGTTGACTCAGCCTTCCATCCTTCCAAGATTGATAAAACGAGGGGCCAAATTTTGGAGAGCAATATGCTGACTTGGTAAACTACTTAGAGAGGGCTGTAAAGCACTATGAAATGGTATATAAATCTAACTGCTATTGCTATTGATGCCTGAACTTGTTTGGCTTGGCAGTCCATCTTAAAATAAGTGGGTATCTTTTTTTAGAGCAGTCCAAGTGCTATGGGTTCTGGTGTACCTCTTCCAAGTTTACATCTATGCTCCAGTACAAATCTGAACTGTATGTTCTTTTCAATTGTAGGAATATTATGTCATGGTATTTTACTGTCTGCATAAGCATTTCTAGGTACATTAATTTAAATATGTCACCTGAATCTAGGTCATAACTTTTCTGTATATTAGTTATTAGTGGCATCCCAGAATTCTCTGGAGTCGTATTTTTCTTCTAATATTCCAGCAATTCTGAAAACTGGACATAAACAACATCCAGTGAAAGGAAATCAGAAGAGAAGAATATTAGGGCTAGTAGAAACACTCCCTGCCTCCAAACCTCTCCAAAGGGCGGATGTACTATATTTTTGGACAGCTTCAACTACATACAGAAACAAGGAAATTCATTGCCTTTTGTGCTGTGGTTAAACTGAAGAAGTGGTGTATTTTGGCTTGGCAGCAACTCTGTGGTTTACATCTTTTCCATTCCATTTAGGATAATATAGGGTGGCTGTTACGGCTAAATTCCCACAACTATTGTTGCTCTGGATGAAATCTCTCTTGGACTATGTGTAAATGAGCTTACTTTTCCAACTATACTAGTGAAGATCCTGCTCTCAAAGTAATTGATTATGGAATTATCAACTGTTGATTGAGGCATTTCCTTTGTTATTATGTATGTTGGTTATTTGAAATTATTGATACAATATTAAACTAAAATATTAAAATTAAAAGTTCTATTATGTGTATGATGTGAAGAAGGTGATAGATCCTTTAAAAATAAATTTTAGTAAATATTTTTTTGTGGAATAGAAACAATATATTTAAAGAAAAGAGAAGGAGAAAAGCAAAAGAAAAGGGATAAGAAAATAAGGCAGAAATAAAAGAAAAGAGATAGAAAACAAAGAGATAAGATAAAGAAATGGATCCCAATTTTACAGCATTTATATTTTATTCCCTCTCTTTAGATTTTGTTGTTGTTAGTTGCGAAGTCATGTCTGACCCATCGTGACCCCATGGACAACATTCCTCCAGGCCTTCCTGCCCTCTACCATCCTCTGGAGTCCATNATTTTGCCCCATTTTACAACCTTTCTTGCCATGGTTGTTAAGTGAATCACTGTAGTTGTTAAGTTACTAACACGGTTGTTAAGTGAATCTGGCTTTCTCATTGACTTCACTTGTCAGAAGGTTAAATAAGCTGATCACATGACTCTGGGACACTGAAACCATCATAAATATGAGTCAGTGGCCAGGTGTATTAATTTTGATCATGTGACCATGGGGATGCTGCAACAGTTGTAAGGGGGGAAAATGGTCATAAGTCACTCTTTTCAGTGCTGTTGTAACTTTGAATGGTCACAAAATGAACTGTTGTTAGTTGAGGACTATCTGTATGCATGAAGAAATTATTCCAAGTTGCCATCACCGGACTAAAAAATTCTGATGCCCAGATTTGTAAAAGTAAGCATTGTAGAATTTTACTATTTTGCATTGAGAAAAGATTGTTACAATGCCATTAGAATCTTTTTTTGTGTGTTTTTAAAAGTAATTTTATTATAGTTTTTGGAGCATTTGCATTTTTGTTTTTTGGGTTGTTGTAGGCTATTTTGATTCAAAGACTATATAAATGTTAAAACAAATTATATAAAATTACTGTCTGTATGTATTTGCCTCAGATAAAGCAGAGCTGATCTAGCGTTATCACTTACCCTTTCTTTGTTCTCATCCTCTAGTTCAGCATCAAGGAAATCCAAGGTTACAGCTTCTTGAAAATTGATGATCTGAAAGAATAATGCCAAAGTAGTGATTGGTGGTGTGAATGAGATGATAATTCAAGACTATCATCCTGTTCATCTTAAGCATGTCAAAACAATCCTTGTTCTATGCCTTGACAAAGTATTTTTTGCCTTCGAGTCAGTGTTTGTTTATTTATTACATTTATATGCCACCCATTTCCCTATCAAAAGTTGACTTCTAGAGACGGCCAAAACAAGTCCTTGCAGTTTTTTTACAAGTGGATTGCCTTTGCCTCCTGCCTAAGGCTGAGAGAGTGACTGGCCCAAGGTCACCCAGCTAATTTCATGCCTAAGGCAGAGCTGGTGTATACATAGTATAAATGCTGTTATAAAATAAGTTCAGTAATGAGACATGTTGACAGTTTCTAACTGAAACATTTTCTACAAAATGCAAATGTATTCTGTTGGGAGTAAATAGAACTTTTCCATATATACAGAAGAATCTCAGTGTTAGATGTAGGGGGAGCTGTAGCTGGAAAGAATGCTTTAATTGTAAAATTAATTATTTTTCTGCAAGACACCAGATTCAGAGACAAGACAAGGTATCCTTACTTTAAAACAATATATTGACAATATAGGTAAGATAAAGGAACCAATCTGTCTCTTCCACGGGCATGAAAAAATGCATGGATTGTGTGAGAACATTATATTGTACTTTTATTGATTTATAAAAAGTATATGATAAAGTGAATAGATTGATTTATACAATCTTATATACGAATTAGAATTAAAAGTTGTAGAGTGTGCTAGAAGTAGTATGTGGTGGAAGTAAAATGCCCTAGAACAGGGGGTGGAAAACGTAAACACTCAAAAAGCCATTTGGACCTGTTTCCCACAGAAAAGAAAACATTGGGAGCTACAAAGGTCCTAATTGGAAGCCCCCTGTTCAATTCTGGAGCTGACCCGAAGTTCAGTTCCCTCACCGTAGAAAGCCCTATCAATTGTGGAGACAACTGGGAAACCCTCCCCTTGCCATAGAGTCTTCTCCTGGCACACTGTGCTTCTCTCCCCACCACCAGAAGCTCCTCTCAAAATTGTGGCGTCAACCGGTGACGGAGCCGCAGCAGAGGGAGGAAATGTATACCAAACATTCTGATTCTAATCTGATTTCTAAGTAAGAAAAATGCAAAAATGAAACAGGACATCAACAGTGGAAATTAAGGTAGAGTTCTGCCAAATTACCGGGAGAAAGTTTTACTAGTCACTTTTCAATCTTTACTCCATTAAGTGTAAGTCTGAATNTAGTTGCGAAGTCATGTCTGACCCATCGTGACCCCATGGACAACATTCCTCCAGGCCTTCCTGCCCTCTACCATCCTCTGGAGTCCATTTAAGCTTTAAGGTTACATTGTGGAAAAAAGAGAGATATCCGGAATACTATCGTAGATGCCTGAAAAAGCTGGGGAAGATTGTTGCACCCCCTTCCTATATGAACACTGATGGAAATATCTAATTGCACCTACCAATATCAATATCCTTCAGTAATATTCTATTGGAGGTTTGCAAGGTAGAGCCAGAGAAAAATGCAGTCTGGAAGTGAGTTTCTTGGCCTGGTTTGTAGCTCAGATTCAAAAAGAATATCTGATTCTCAACATTGTGCTTCAAGAGGACTGGACATCTTGCACTTAGGTTTTCTGAGTTATGGCATCAAACACATTAATCCTGGGAGCCATATCATAGAACTGGAGAAAGCAGGCCTTTTCATTGATTGATGAAAATGTATAGCCGGCCTTTAGTGGGTTCTTCTAAAGAAAAGTACCTTTTCCCCCCTTAAAAAAGACACCTGCAAGAAGTCACCGTATCAACGACTAAATGGCGCAGCATGGGATGCTCATTTCAATGGAGCTGCCATGCTGGTTTATGAGGCCATAACCAGGCTCCCTGGAGAATAAATGGCTTGGTCTTTGGCCTTGTCACTTACCTAGTTGGGAAACAGATCATTGCCTGCTTAAAAGCAAGCTGACATAGAATGCCATGGCAGATCTATTGCTGCTAATAAATCTAAACAACTAGGGATGTAGGAGCATAAGGCAGATGAGACAGATTGCTGCCGACATGCTGTGAATCTACCCACTGGGGAGAAAAAGAAATGTGTGATCTACTTAGTGGCACTTGTTTGCCTTGCAATATAAGATGATAGAATATATAGCCACTGCATTTGTTGATGCTGCATTAATAAAATTAGCGATCATATTATTTGTCATTATCACATGCTCCTTTGGGCTCCCCACGAGAGGCCGCAGAGCCAGGTATTGACTCCTTTTGGGAAGACTAGGAGAGGAGGGGGCCATCTCATCTGCCTGTGTGTGTGTGTGTGTGGGGGGAGAATATTCCACAGGGTGGGGGCAACAGCACAGAAAGTTCTCTTCCTCGGCCTGCAAATTGGAGTTCTTTAACTGACAATATAATGGGACAAAAATGGTTCTGTAGGTAGCCTGGCCCTATTCCCTGTAGGGTTTTATAGGTCATAACCCACACCTTTAACTGAAGCCAGAAGCAAACTGGGACTGAATGTGTCCTTCTTTGGGCGACTAAAATTGACCATGTGCCTGCATTTTGTAGTAGGTGAAGCTTCTGGATACTTTTCAAGGATAGCTCCATGTGCAACATGTTGCAATAGTCCAAATTCCACATGATCAGGGCATGAGGGATGAAGTCTATAGACATATTCAGGAAAGGGCCTTATTTGTTTTGTACATTGATAAACAATAACAGGAATTGCAATCTGATAACACAGATGGCCATATGTTGACCATCCCTCAATTTCGGTCCAAGTGTATTTATAACGTATCATTACTTGCTCTCTATAATGTCATAGTTTTAGAAGATTCTTTTTCATGGGATGCCACAGCAGAGGGGAGCCACTAAAATAAGCTTAAATTATTACTCATGAAAAATATCCTAAAATATATATAAATTCATACCATTCATCATTTCAATAATTAACTCTAAGTTTGATAGCAATAGCATTTACGCCAGGGGTGGGTTTCTGCCAATTCGCCCCAGCGGCGGCAGCGGGAGGCTTCGCCCCCACCTGGATGTGCGCAAGTGTATGTGCGCAAGTGCATAAGTGTCATGAGCGTGCACAACCATGCGCACGCACATGAGTAAACTAAATTGAAACCCACTACTGATTTAGGCCTAGATAGGATCTCTCCTGTTTCAATAATACATAATTTTGGCTTTTCCCTCAATAAACAAAATGTATCACATGCCAAACATATTCTAAGAAGCATCTCAAAGAGGTCAATTTCAATGTACAAATTTAATAAATACTATATGATTAAACTCTTCCCATTTAAATAAAAATTTCAGCTTATATGAATGATGAAATAGGCATAACTGTGTTCAGTAATTTTGCTTGTATTCCAATACCCATGTTATCAAATGTATGAAATAATCAAGATATTTGTCAAAATAGGTTTGGTGTGAAAGTATAATTGAGTTTACCAGCAATGTAAATGAATGAAATGGGAGAGTTTTTTCTTACTTGGTTGTAATAATATTCCTTCACGTTTGCCATTCTGGACAGATTTAACATCATTTATATGCTTACATGCTTTTACATTCCCTCCTCATACCTTCCCCTAAACTGTGATTATAAATGTTTAGGACAATTTCTTGGTGTATTATTTTTGTCTGTTGTATTTTTTTCTTTGTTCCTGTATTGTGGCACCAATTCATATACCATATGTAAGAAAATGTTCTCCATTACTTGCTGACATATAATATAGCTTCAAAATGATATTATGGGATATTACTGAGTATGTTTTAAAAAAGAAACACTGCTCTGTCATACAAAAATGTTTGGGAATCTAACTATATTCTTTTTAGTGTATGAATATTGGAAAAGAACATAGTTGGTTGGTGGCTTACTAGAAGTACTCTAAGTGGAGTCCCAGTCTTCTCCAATCTGGTGTCCTCCATGTGTGCTGAACTATGACTCCCATAATTCTCAAGTTATATCTGGTAAGCACCCCATTGGGAAAGGCTGTAGTATCTATTTAGTATCTTATTCTTTGTCTGTCCATCCATCCATCTCATAGAATGCATCAAGAAAATCTGATAACAATTTAAAAGCAATTTCAGGAAAAGATAATTTTCAGTTGAGGATGCTACTTGGCTGAAAATCAAGGACTAAATCAAGGAATACTGTGGATTCTTTGTGGAGCAGTTGTACAAAGCAAAGGGGATGAGGGGATGACAGCAACCACTCAATATGATTTTGGTGGCAGATTTTTGCAAAATAGGAACATACCTTCCATTCACTGCTCCCGCGAGACTGGCCATCATCAGTGAGGTTAAATACAGGCAGAGTGCCTGTTACCACTAAACCCAGACCCTAAAAAAGTAACAACAATAACAAAAGTAAAATATGGCATTATCTGCAAGACCCTAACTGGCCAATTCAGAATTAGAATAGCATTTCTAATTCATAATATTGAAGAGTGGAGCAGTTAGACTTTGATTGGGAAGAAAAGGGGGAGAAGAAACCATCTCAAGATTAACAGTTTTGGGAATCTGAAGGGATATGGAACACTAAATGTATTTATCTAATTTGACCCATATTACAATGTATGAATCACACAAGCAAATGAAAGTGGGGGAAAAAAACCTGGTTGCAATATTTCATAAAGCTGTTTTCCTTACTAAAGCGTCCTGATAGACATTGGTCCACTGAACTTGCTTTGCTTTATTTCCAGCCAAGACCATGGGCCTTCCTAGGACATTGAGATATTCCTGCAGGAAACAGAAGGAGACTAAAACTAACAACACATAACATGCACTCATCCAGAAACATGAAATATAGCAATATGTGTATATCATAGCATCATTTGTATAGCACGCTCACACCAGCGTATCTTTGAGGATTTATTCGTTTGACAATTTTTAGCAGCTTTCATATTGAGAAACAGCCAATTCCTCAAATGCCCAAAGCTATTTTTCTTCCAGTTGAAGCAATCCAGATGTGCTGAGCTACAACTTGAATACACTTTTATCAGCTGGAAAATATAATTATTGCAGTCCAGCAGACACTGGAGACACATGCTGAAGAAGACTGCCTAAGCAACCTATTTTGTCAAAATATTTATTCAGTCAATCTAACAGTTCTACCTTTTACTCATGGCGCAATTTAATCTAGTTATCACTAAACTTAGAAGCCTGGTTTGTTTCCGCTTAACACAGCCCCCCCCAGTCTATAAATTGGCAGTTTCGTATGTTTCTATGGCATTAAGTCCAAACCAAGTTGTACCTGCACTGAAACTGCTTGGACTTCATCATAAAACAAGTGTCAATTATATAAAGTCTGCCTCTAAGTTTTATCATTGTGATTTATATGGATTATGCTTTTTGTCTTGGGTTTAAAAAATGTAGCTACAGGGTTCCATTAAAAGTATGTCAAAACTAATGACATAGTATTTACTCACTATGATTACTTTTAAACCAAACTTGAAAAATTAATTTTAGAAGCTGAACCTCATTTAAGGTAGTACCAGAGTATTTTTAAATTGTGATATGATATAGTTTTATTATTGACCAACTGCTGCAGGCTGGCATTGCTGGGGAAGATACAGGTACACATTTGAAAAACAAACAAAAAGACAGATAAAATATCTCAATCCACATATTAGGAGAATAAGCATTTATATAAAAAACCTGTTTGAAAGGTATGATATTAAAAAACTATTTTTTCCATAAAGGGGAAAAAACAGATCACTGATTTCTGTGGGGAAAAAAGAGTTTTTCTATTGAATATAAAAGCTGGGGAGAGATATGCAATATAGAATTATTAATATCAGCAAAACTTTAAAAATGCAATATAAGTAGTGCTATATGTAGATGAGATTGAACCTTATTAATTCATCTATTTATAATTAAGAGGCCGTGATGAAATATGTCTTTGATAAATATGCTAAGATTATTCCCAAATCTTGGAACAAAATACTCAGAATGATCTCCGATATAAGCAGCTCACAGATGTATTGAATTCTATGTTTCTACTACTACACATTTTTTTTTTACAAAATAATGACCAACATTTTGCGAAAAACATTTTTTTCCAGTTGTAAGCCATTCTTTGGGAAGTAGTTTCATGTTTGGAGGCACGTGATAATTCATAATAACATGAATTCGGATGAGTCACTCCATGGGGAAAAGATCATGATTTTATTGCATTAGTTATGGGCAAGAAATAAAATGATCATTTCAATGGTAAAGACGAACTTGCTCACTTTTGCATAATTCCTGACCTACAGAAGGAGATGGATGGGAGAGAAAAAGCATTCCCTTGCCCTGCGTCAGATACCCTTCTTAAAATACTGCAGCTTGCAAAACCTCAACAGATTGTAAAGACTGTGTCTCCCAGCACAGTCACACGGAGGTAAAGGTCACAGCCCAACTGCTCTTTCTCTTCAACCCTATAGTTTGTAAGTATCTCGTCCATTCCTGCAACTTCCTTCTCTCTGCTCCCTCACAACCTTCTCACCTTTCCCTCCATTGTACATTCCTCCTATAGAGGGAAAATCAGAGCTTTGTGAATAATCTTAATGCTCTCCTGACATAATTACTCCTCTTTTGAAACACTGTAGTATGAACTCAGTGGGTACCCAGAACCTTGTGCATCAGCTATGATGATACAGGGCTCCAGAATTGTCACCCTGCTTTGAATTCAGCATGCTTCTGCATCAAATTGGCAAGGCTGTTTGGAAACATGTGTTTGGAAGGAACTCTTGAACAACTGTTAATTAATTGTCTCACCAACCATCATTTTGAGAAATGATGACCTATGTATATAGAGGCATGCTGCCATTCATCGTACCATCAATAGCCTTTGTGGAAAAACCTTAAGAGGAAGAGCTAGAACATGGGGAAAAGATTGTTTTCATTTCGTTTTAAAACTGTTTTTAAATTCCCAGCAGAGGTCGAGTTGCATCCAGTTACATCTGTGCTACAATAAATTGACCAGATGAACTGTACTTTGGTGGAGTGGGACCTTGACGATTTTGCAGCCAACCCTGATTGTGAAAGCTCTGATAATTTAAGCACCAAACAAAATGATAGACAAGAAGAGGGAACACTGCTTGGATGCATTTTTATACCTGCCTGACCAACGTACTCTCTAGCTAACCAATGATTTTGAAATCTAGGACTATAGGTTGGTGTGAATCTATTTTGTATATATTAAAAAAATGGCTGCCTTCAAGTCAGCATTTGATTCCTGTCAAGTATCTGAACTAGTCCTTGAATTTTTCAGAAATGCTTTGCCATTTTCTCCAGTAAGTGACTGACTCAGATAACCCAGCTGGCTTCCAGCTTAGAGCAGGACTAGAATCCATGGTCTCCTAGGTTCCTAGCCTAGTGCCTTAACCACTGTTGGAAGAAATATCCATTCGGGTTCAGTTCCAAGTGGGGGGAAAAGACACTGGAAACATGGAGACTGTTTGGAAAGATGGTTTTTAATGGTGGACAGAACCACATAGTTTGAGGTCCTGAGGGAAAAGGGGAAGAGGTGCTGAGAGTGCCCTGGTTTTATGCCCTCTCTGGGCTTTTGAATTTGAGCTTGTATTCTGATTCATTATCAGACTCCTATGGGGCCATGCAAGGGTAACTTTGTCGGTTGTGTTTTTGAGTCCCAAGCTTGGTTGAGCCTTGCTGGATGATGAAATCTTCCCAGCTGCCATGTGGTGAGTTCAGTTGCTAGATGGGTAGAGGGCTAATCCTACCTTTGTTGGAATCTTGGGTGAGGGCATTTGCGTATGAATAGACCTAGCTATCTCTTTATCTCTTGAGTGAGGACATCTGCTGTGGGCTATTGAGGATGGTGTGGGATGAGTTTCTGCCTCACTTTTATGAGAAATATTCTGCCCTTTTAATATTTCCTAAGATATTTCATTTTTCTAGGAGCGGGGTGGGTGTTAACTTCCTACACCACAACACCAGATTTGGTTAGTTGGGGGTGTGTGAGCATAAATTGGCATATGATGTTCTCAGAGTCTTCTCTGCATTTGTTGAAAAAGTGAAATTAATTGCAGGTCAGAGTTCAATTCTTTTAAGATGAATTTGGATGAAAACATTGGTCTTGCAAATATGTCTTTAGTTGGCAGGGTAGAAGCAGAATTATTGAAAGATAGTTTAGAGAATAGTGATGAAGAAAATGGCAACTAGTTCTTATAATCAATAAATACTTTAATGAGTCTTTAATGAGGCGATTTCTGAATTTCAATGTTAAATTTAATTTCATGATTTCATACAGGACTTAAGGATTTCTGCATGAGCTATTTCTATCATTGGGGGAGCTGAATCTAGTCTAATACACAATAATAGTAATGAAAAGCATCTACTCTACAAGCAAAAAGTAGGAGTGGAAATAAATAATATATGCTTCTGGAAAATAAAAGTTGATATAACTTTCAAATGAATCCATCTTATGGTACCAATGAAAACAAACAAACCCTACAAACAATAATCATAGACCAGCTGTGTCACATGCACAGGCTTGCCAAGCATGGTTTCTTCATGCACCTTAGAGAACACACAAAACATTGAATATTTCTAACATAACTGAGGCCCTCTTGGCTATGTTAGACTGAGCTTAAATAAGACAAGATACAGAGTTTCAGATGGGCATTAAAACAACTTTCTTTATCTCCATCTATTTGAAATGCTTAAAAAAACCTATACATGTTGCAAAAGTGCCATCATGAAAAGAACATCTGAGCAGAAATCAAGTTGGACTTGATTGGCATACTGCCCCCACAGTCTGGGTCCTCATTTTACCCACCCCGAAGGATGGAAGGCTGAGTCAACCTTGAGCCGATGAGATTTGAACTGTCGAACTGCAGATAGCAGTCAGCTGAAGTGGGCTGCAGTTCTGCACTGCGCCACCTCGGTTCTTATTCAGGCTGCAGCTTCACTCTAGTACTGGAAATCAGAATTTCCCCCATAGCCTGCATTTCAGTGTGTGACACCAATGTAAACAAGGGAGGAGGAGTAATGGCACGATTCCTTCAGTTTCTTTCCTGAGTTCTTCGGCTTGTAGAGAAAGACTGAATCTGTTAAATACATTGGAGCTGAAAAATCAGAAAGCTACCAGAAGAGGATCAAACAGAAGCAAAGAGTCGAACCCTTTATGATCACACATTGGATTCTGTCCTTTTTGTGAATTCTGTAGGAGTGACGGTGAGCAATGGGGGAGGAAATGGTGGGAAGAAATAGGGGGGGACAACAATTGAGGGGTGCGGAGAAATGGCACCAGCAATTCCACATTGATTGCCGGTTAGTCTTGGTAAGCACAATACTGTAAGGGATAGCATGTTCCAGTCAGCCCTTACTGTCAGTATGACGGAAACACATACTTTCTGCAAATCAATTAACCTTCCCTGCAGGTTGCCATGGAGAAGCATGGCAGGTAAGAATTTCAGACTGAAGCATCAAAAGAATGTATGTATTATTTCCGGATAATGTAGTACAAGGGAGGGAGAAAGGGTGAAAAGACAAAATGGAGTGGGGGTGATGAAGAAAATAAAGAGGCAGAGAGTGAGAGAGGAATAGGAAGAAAAACAGAATTAGAATTACTGAAAAAACTGGAGAAGTGTAGCAATCAATAGGAATCTGAGCTACAAATTCACTGAAGATCATACACATGTAGCTTTAATTCATTATTATGGCAGGAAAGTGATCCTTCCACTCTCTCACCTCCATGCATTCAATCACCGAAAGATTTATTTACTGTGGTTCTT